ACGTTTGATTTTTTCAAACACTCTTACACTGGAATTGTAAACTTGTCTAAATATCTTAAATGTATATTATTCATGCAATCTGCTCCAGAAAAATCTGCAATTGTGAGGAGAGGATGGCAACAGTTTTATTTGAGTCATTTACACAATGTGGGGATTAAAGAAGCAAACAGCTGAGCTACTGTGGAGTACAAATTAGAAGATGAGGCCTGAGATGTGTCCATCAGCTGTGACAGTCCAGCCACATTCCTTTGTTATGTGCTGTCAGATGGGCTTTTCCCTTTGGAAACTCTCTGACTGTGGATACAGCTGTGAAGATGGCTCCACTGAACAGAAATACAAAAGGCATGGAAAGACGACACATGAGGGAAGAATGAGGTGGGGAGTGGGTTTTATGAATGGATGATGGCCAAGTTGACTGTGCTCCCTTTAGGATATTCAGTAGGTTTAGGGATGAATGTCTGGGACGGGAGAGGCAGACAGAAAGCAGAGCAAGTAATTTATCTTTAAAAGGGCAGATTCCTACATGATGTATGGTGTACAGATTGCCCGTGTGCATGTGTGTTGTGGATTGTAAAAATGGGTGTGGGAGGTGTAAGCGAGCCAACAACTCCTCTTATCGCTCTTCAGAGCAATGTGGAGAATGAGAACTCTGGAGCTGCTTTACTGATCAAAGACAGACAGTGGAGCTGATACAGAATTCACTTTCCTGCCATGCTCTGATGGGGCACTTTCAGACTTCTCCACAAGCATTCAAGTTTAATGCAGTTGAGCTAGGGATGTAAATTGGCGACCGTTTAACCGGTGGTTGACCGTCACAGCGTTAACCGGTCAAAGCTGTCGGTTAAAAAAGGGAAGAGGGGAGGTCTCTTAATAACGCTATTTTAAGCCCTATTTGCACGGAGTGACGAGCGGGTCTGTATCTAGCTGTGTGCGCCCATGTATTATAAACTCCGGGACAATTCTCACGCCACACACACACACACACACACACACTTTCCCCCTCTCCATACGTAACATCCACACGCATCATCTCTCCCCTCTGTTACCGTCAAAGTTGCACACTGGCGCGGGTCAGAACTACATTGGAGCTTACATTTACACACACACACACACATATACATACACATACCGGTCTGTCGCGCTCCTCTGTAAGTAAGTAAGTAAGTAAGCTTTATTTATATACCGCCTTTCACAGACCAGAGTCACAAAGCGGTTTACAATTGTTATTTTTTGTCACTGTGTGACAAAATCTGTGTCACGGAATCTGTGTCACGGAGCCCAAAGGATTCGCGCAAATACACGGCTCCAGTCAAACCACATGGAACATGTTTGTGTTTATGGTCCTCGGGATCAGCTCCACACACATCACTTGTATTTAAACTTTTGTGAAGACCTGTGAGACGCGGCTCGTCATTCGCTGCTCTGACCATGTGAACGAGCCGTCGTTTGCTGCTAGAAAGTTTTGGTATTAACCCGCAGCACAGCAGAATGGGAAGATTAAAAAAGCAGTTCTCTGTGCGCAAAGGTGCCGGAGCTGTTGCGGGTTTGGGCGCCGCTGTCTCAACTCTGATCCAGTAGAACGCAGAGCTGCACTTATGAAAAGTACGCGGCTCGAAATGGCTGTTATTTCACAGAACGTGGACTATTTTAAACTACGCGGTTAACCGGTTTCAACCGGTTAATGAGGCTCGGTGGTCGGTCATGAAAATTCATAGTTTTTTACATCCCTAAGTTGAGCCAACCTTGCATCTATACAAGTTTCTGACAAGATTCTGGTTTAAAGCTCCTGATATAAATGCATAATTGTTCACCAATATCATCCTGATTCTAATGCATCCTGAGCCTCTATTCTGAAGCTGATTAATCGTATGGGAGCATTCGCTGAGACATTAAATGCCATTGTAAGCACAGTGGCCATTTTTTCCAAAAAATATTTTTTTCTTTCACTCTCCTTAGGTGTGAATGTGAGTGGTGGGGCTGTGGGGTGCTTGTTATCCTGCACCTATCCAGACATCCCAAGGCTGGGAAGCCAGACAGCCAGACGAGGTAAGGCACTCTGAAGATGAGTGGCGCTCTGACAAGACTGACAGCTCAGCAGCTACTGCAGAAAATCTGACAGGCCAAGAGAAGAGCAGCGAATGGGAGTGGACACAGGTGCCCACAGAAACAGCTAGTCAAGTCGTGTGACAAAAAGATGGAAAAGCTAGCTAGACTCCCTAACAGACAGCGTGTCTGAAGGAGGACTCACAGGAAGTAGACAGGCAAAGCAGTCGAAGAAGTAGCAGTCGGAGCATGTTATCACAGCCTGCCGCTAACCAGCCCGTCAAACTACAGGCCCACCATCCCAACAGGCCATAATGTCCGGAGAGGGGACAACACTGCCCCTCTCTGGGCCTGTCACTGTACTGCAGCTCAGCACACCGTACCATATACCCAACGCTTTAATCAGAGGTTTTGTCAAGTCAATGTAAGTATTGTATTAATGTATTAATTATATGTGTTTTGCCTTGTCCTACTCTAAGCCAAAGATAAGTTTCCTTTAGGAACAAGTATCTTAGAGTTGATTTCAAACACTGGTGGGCACCACGGCATTTTCATGGTCTTATATTTGCTCTACAGTGATTCATTTAACAAAAACAAAAAACAAAACTAGCTCTTTCCAATCAGTCATTTTGATTCAGTAAATCCTGCTCTGCTCACCAGATGTGGTAACTCTGTTTCCAAAAATAATAAAATAATAATGCCAAACTGAAATCATGGCTTCCCATGTTTTAAATAATAACCAGTTGTTGACCAGTAATTAACCATGCTAAATGATAGCTATACTGGCCATGCTGTTGTATAGTGTAGATTCTAGTTTTGTCCCATGCCTAAATAATACCCTTTCATTCACAGCTGGTTACAGAAAAGTGTAAGAGTTCCTCAGACTCAATGTTCAAATCATTAGATGCTATCTGGCATATATTCCAAATATATAAGGAAGTGCTGACACATGATAGTGATAAAATACATTATTCAAAAACACTTTACATTGCACAATATAACCTATAATATGAGTCTCAACTAATATGCACACAAAATATGAACTGCTGATCTAATAAGAGAACTACATGCATTTCTCTTTGTGGACGTTGTTAAATAACAAGATTTGCAAGTAGACTGGAAAGACTGTTGACTAAGAAAGGTGCATCGGGTTCTAAAACGTATAAAACAAACGTTATTCTTTTATTACATATCTTAGTGACTGATCTTGAACAGCCAAAGTAGTACAACTAATAATTCAGGGAGAACAATATGATAAAGTTATACATTTAGGATTTTAAAGTATTCTTACAGAAAGATATTCTGTAATATCAAGACCCAAACAGCTCTCCTGGCAACGTTTAAACCCAACAATACCTTTTTAGAAATAGGATACCACTGCACACTCATGTTTCTATCTGAGTTCAAGCATTCTTGGTAGGTGAACGGTTAGTCAACAGAGATCAACAGGAAAAATGGCCTCAATGTCCAACGCATCAATCTACTCATGCAAAGTTCTGGCTTTGGTTAGCTGGAGGAGGCCAACCACAACCAGGCTTCCCGATTCCTCCTGGTGGTCTTCTTGTGCCAGACTAACAAACTATTATGTAGCCAGATACATAGCAAGAGGAAAATTGGTAACTTGCAAATATATCTGGAACTTATTTAGAGGGTCAAGTAGTCAGAACGTAAAAAACTATGCCTATTAAAATGAACCATGAGAAAGCAAATAAAATAACTTATCCATCCATATTCTTCCGCTTCATCCGTTGCCAGGTCACACTAAGTCAGAGGAACTAGTCAGAGTTTGTCACTTCCACAAACACAATGGAAAGATGTGGTTGTGGTTTTTAAGAGTAGCCTTTTTGAAATTTAAATCACTTCCATAAACACAAGATCGCAACCTGCTTACAACACAGAAAGCAGCAGTCCACCCTTGGAAACTCATAGATTGCAATAATGCTGAGTGCTATCCTCCTGTTAAGAGACTGAGAAAGTTGACATTTTGAGATTATATTGTGATAAATGGATAATAGGGCAGGGTTGTAAAAAGGGAACCTATAATCTGTAGCTTAATTGATTATTGATTTAGTTGTGAACCAATTTAGTCATCAAATTATCTTTGTTTTTACTCATACACAGATTCTAACATGCATTGAAGCAGATTTACAACACAAACAGTCCTATATTAAAAATGTGTCATTACTTTAGAAACAAACAGCACCACTTAGTTCTTGAGTGGTAAGTCATTCTTTTGCTAAAACCTATTTAAATTATAATATTCAATGATTGATTGTGATCTATGGTGTTGACTGATCGAAGAATAATTGCCAGATTAACCAATTCATAAAAATTAGAAATTACAGCCTTACTAGAGTGTTGTAAGAAAAAATGTTAATCAAACATAGCAAGGCTAGAGCCAAAGTATTTTCAATCAAACAGTGAACTCATATGTGTCTCAAATCCTTGGTAGTGAACCCAGTGAACTCCCAAAGGTGTGTGAACAGAATGGAAAGATTACAAAGATACATCAACTCTGCCATCTAGTGACTGAAAATTGTAAATACAGCCAATAACGCTCCCAAAACATCACTACACGTTTTAGGGTGTGAAGAAAATGGATTTATTGCAGTTGCAGTCGTATAGAAATGTACCTATGATTGATTCAAACAATACTGCAACAGTATGATGGTATTTCGGTAATTGTCAAATTAAAATACCAAAGTATTTTGTAAAAGAGGTGGTAATTACAAAACAAATCAATGGGATGATATTGCTCCTCAGAGCAACTACTAAAACATCTCATAAAACCAACTTCTGATATGCTTCCTAACAAGTGTGTGGGAATAACTCTGCAGACACTAAAGCAACAAAGCATAACGGATAACTAAAATCATTGACAGTAAAGTATGTACGGCATAAAACATCTAAAATTAGTAAGTATACAAGTACAAATTAAGAATGTATGAAAGTACAAATCAAAAAAAAAATATTTCAGACTCAAATCCAGCAGTGGATTGCGGGGAAAAAAATCTATAGGAGAATGATTGTATCTGTAAATACCAGTACAAATGGCCGAACTCAGTCTTCTACATCAGAGAACTGGTTTGGTTCAGAATAGGTTTTGTACCTCTTCCAGATTATGGGCTGCTGGTGGTGAGTGGCTGGGAAATATTTGTGGCAGGTCAATTCCCACAATGGAGGCTTGATGTTTTCTAGGCTCAGGTCCCGTAGAGAAAAGTTGACGACATCCTCCGGACCTAGAAAGATATCATGATAATCATCAGTGAAAAGATGATAAAACAGAACTTTTTTAAGGATAAAAAATCCCACTATAATAAGATGCAAAATGATAAAGATTAAAAAAACACTCAAAAACGTTCAGTCATTGTATCAGAATGCAATGATTCTGCCACATTTTACAGTGCATCCGGAAAGTCTTCACAGCGCTTCACTTTTTCCACATTTTGTTGTGTTACAGCCTTATTCCAAAATCCAGAAAAAAAGTTTTGAGATTCTTGCAAATTTATTAAAAATAAAAAAATAGGAAAACACATGTACGGGCAACAGTAGCTCAGTTGGTAGCCTTTGGGCCTGAAGGTTGTGGGTTCGAGCCCACCTCAAGACCTACTTCACGACTCCCACTGATGTCTGCTGTCGTTGTGTCCATGGGCAAGACACTTAACCTCACTTTGCCTGAAGCCCCCACTGAAAGATCTCAGCTCCTGTGGACTCACCACCTGCAGGAGGATCAGTGAGGGGCTGGTGCTATGTGTACTTGGTGCAGGTCTTTACCTGGTTTGCATACACAGTAGCTGGTATTTTGGCCCATTCCTCCATGCAGATCTTCTCGAGAGCAGTGAACACAGACTTTCAACTCCCTCCACAGATTTTCAATAGGGTTGAGGTCTGGAGACTGGCTAGGCCACTCCAGGACTTTCAAATGCTTCTACGGAGCCACTCCTTCGTTGCCCGGGGGGTGTATTTAGGATCATTGTCATGCTGGAAGACCCAGCCACGTTTCATCTTCAAAGCTCTCACTGATGGAAGGAGGTTTTGGCTCAAAATCTCACGATACATGGCCCCATTCATTCTTTCCTTAACACCGATCAGTCGTCCTGTCCCCTTAGCAGAAAAACAGCCCCAAAGCATGACGTTTCCACCCCCATGCTTCACAGTAGGTATGGTGTTCTTAGGATGCAACTCAGTATTCTTCTTCCTCCAAACACGACGAGTCGAGTTTATACCAAACAGTTCTACTTTGGTTTAATCTGACCACATGACATTCTCCCAATCCTCTGCTGTATCATCCATGTGCTCTCTGGCAAACTTCAGACGGGCCTGGACATGCACTGGCTTCAGCAGGGGGACACGTCTGGCACTGCAGGATTTGATTCCCTGTCGTCGTAGTGTGTTACTGATGGTAACCTTTGTTACTTTGGTCCCAGCTCTCTGCAGGTCATTCACCAGGTCCCCCCGTGTGGTTCTGGGATTTTTGATCACCGTTCTAATGATCCTTTTGAACCCATGGGATGAGATCTTGCGTGGAGCCCCAGATCGAGTGGTCTTGTATGTCTTCCATAATCTGATAATTGCTCCCACAGTTGATTTGTTCACACAAAGCTGCTTGCCTATTGTAGATTCACTCTTCGCAGTCTGGTGCGGGTCTGCAATTCTTTTCCTGGTGTCCTTCGACACCTCTTTGGTCTTGGCCATAGTGGAGTTTGGAGTCTGACTGTTTGAGGCTGTGGACAGGAGTTCAAACAGGTGCCATTAATACAGGTAACGAAGAGCTTCTTAAAGAAAAAGTTACAGGTCTGTGAGACCTTGTTTGAAGTGACCAAATACTTCTTTTTACACCATAATTTACAAATAAATTCTTTCAAAATCCTACAATGTGAATTCCTGGATTTTTTTTCACATTCTGTCTCTCACAGCTGAAGTGTACCTATGATGAAAATTACAGACCTCTGTCATTACTTTAAGTGGGAGAACTTGCACAATCGGTGGCTGACCAAATACTTTTTTGCCCCACTGTATGTACTCTACATCGAGCTGGTCCCAGGGCTCCAAACCTGCTCTGGGGCCTTTTCAATTATATAAAAATCCACAACACAAAACCTAACCCATTAAAACTGAATCAATGGGATAATTTCGTCAAGATAATCTATTGATTAAAAGTCGTCAACCCCCTCATCTTCTCCCGCTTCGACTACTGCAACTCCCTCCTCTCCGGTCTAGAGTTCAAATCCCTCTCCCGCCTCCAACTGGTTCATAACGCAGCAGCCAGACTTCTCACTGGTTTTAACAGACGGGAACACATCACCCCTGTTTTGGCTTCCCTCCACTGGCTACCTGTGCATTTTAAAATTGATTTTAAGATTTGACTGATTACTTTTAAAGCTTCTTAAGGTCTGGCACCAAAATACATTCATGAACTTTTAACCCCCTACGAGCCCCCCCGCAGCCTTAGATCCTCAGGCAGGTCGCTGTTGACTGTTCCAAGGTCGAGGCTCCACACAAAAGGTGACTGAGCCTTCTCTGTCCGCGCTCCTCGACTTTGGAACGACCTGCCCGAAGAGATAAGGCTAGCACCATCAGTATCCTCTTTTAAATCACTTCTTAAAACCCTTTTATCAAATAGATTTTAAAGTTTTAAACTTCTCAGTTGTATTTTACTGTCTGCTTTGTCTTTGTCGTGTCTTTCTTCTTGTGTGTGTGACTCTGTATTATGACTATTTCATTGTTTATTATGCTGACTGTGCTGCACTTAAAAAAAAAGTGCTATATAAAGATAATTTTTTTTATTTAAAAAAGAAAATTACATTGAAAATTAAATTGCCAAAGGGGTGGGGTTCAGGGGAAAATTACTTAATGTGACTCCTTACTTCGATAACATTGTTTTAGCTCAATCTAAGCCATTTATATGAACCATAAATTAATGGTTGGGTTGTTTGATTAAAAATATTTTGTTTCTTTTCATTTTGTAGTCATTAAAGAATAGGCCTGTCGCGATATTCAATAAATCAATTAATGACGTGATAATTAGAATTAGCTCGTTAATTTTCCTGGCCGTGACAAGTTCCATTTGCATGCTTGTTTGATTTCCACGTCTCGCTCTCTCTCTCTCTCTCTCGGGTCAGAAAGCCGCAAAGTGGTCACGGGAACAATAGCGGTCTAGCAAGCAAACTAAAATTACTCAAAAATAAAAAATACAGCCAAAACAGGACCTAAACCAGGACTAAACCAGGATTGACAATAGGGGACAACGTCCTTGTGAACATACAGTATGCCAGCCCGAGTTCTCATTCAGGCTCTAGAAGTGACACGACTAGCGCAGCTAGCGTGTTTGCTGATGCGGAAGTAACGTTTAATAATACAATAAACCTATGGCGCAACTCCATGAACACATACTGCTGTTATATAAAGTCTCTGGAAGGTCTCTGGACAAGGAGACGCTGCAGATCTGCATTCTTAGAGAGAATCTTTACACAAAAAGCCGCTAGCTTAACTCTGTTAGCATCAACAGCCCAACCGCTACTTCCGCCACTTCCGGCGGTGGTCTTATTAATCGTCCAGCAAAATTTGTTATCGTAAGGCAAGGCAAGGCAAGGGAAGGTTATTTGTATAGCACAATTCATACACAAGGCAACTCAAAGTGCTGAACAAGATAGCATTAAAATCATAAATAATCACAGAACATTAAAACGAAAGATAAAAATATAAAATCCCTCAGTTGTATGCACAGCTAAACAGCACCGTTTTTAACTTGGTTTTAAACATTGTCAGAGAGGAGGCCTGTCTCACATCTTCAGGAAGATTGTTCCAGATTTTAGCAGCATGAATCTGAAAAGCAGCCTCCCCATTGTTTAGTCCTGACTCTGGGCACGAACAGGAGTCCAGTCCCTGTGCTCCTCAGAGTCCGGGCTGGTTCATATGGTACTAACATGTCACTAATATATTTTGGTGCGAGGCCATGGAGAGACTTGTACACAAGCAGAGCTGTTTTAAAGTCTATTCTCTGAGCCACAGGAAGCCAGTGCAGAGACCTGAGGACTGGACTAATGTGGTTGTACTTCCAGGTTCTAGTCAGGACTCGAGCTGCTGCATTTTGAATGTACTGCAGCTGTTTTACAGCCTGTTTGGACAGACCTGTGAGCAGGCCATTGCAGTAGTCTAACCTACTGGAGACAAATGCATGGATAAGAATCTCCAAGTCTGCTTTAGACACTATATTTTTGATCCTGGCAATGTTTTTTAGATGGTAAAAAGCTGCTGATGTTACTGATTTGATGTGGCTATTAAAATTCAAGTCTGAGTCCTTGTTTGAAGGTTTTAGGGAGAGAGAATGTAAGTGACTGATGACGCTCTCTCTTTGTTTCTGGGGACCAAAGACAATCATTTCAGTTTTGTCTGCGTTTAGCTGAAGGAAGTTGTTTTGCATCCACTCACTGATCTGTTGGATACAGTGAAGGAGTGAGTCCACTGGTCCATGTTCTCCTGCAGTCAGTGAGACATAGATCTGAGTGTCGTCTGCATAGTTGTGATAGGACACTTTGTTTCTGCGTATTAACTGACCTAACGGCAGCATGTAGAGATTGAACAGAAGAGGTCCCAGGATCGACCCCTGTGGGACTCCACAGGTCAGGGCCATATGATCTGAGACACAGTTTCCAATCTCCACAAAGTACTTCCTGTCTTCAAGGTAAGACCTAAACCAACTTAGGGCGGTGCCAGCGACGCCAACCCAGTCCTCTAGTCTCTGTAAGAGGATCTCATGGTCGACGGTGTCAAAGGCAGCACTCAGATCTAACAGGATTAGGATTGAGACTTTGCCTGCGTCAGTGTTCAGCCGGATATCATTTGTAACCTTGACAAGAGCAGTCTCAGTGCTGTGGTGGGGTCTAAAGCCGGACTGAAACATATCAAATGAGTTGTTGATTATAAGAAATCTGGTAAGCTGTAGGTAGACAACTTTTTCAAGGACTTTCCCCATAAATGGCAGATTTGAGATGGGACGATAGTTGTTAAGTACCGTAGCATCCAGCCTGCTCTTTTTTAGCAGGGGCCTGATGACTGCAGTTTTCAGGGCCTTTGGGAATATTCCAGAATGAAGGGACATGTTTACTATCTGTGTGAGTGAAGGTAACAGACTGCTCAGAACAGACTTCAGAAATCTAGTGGGTAGTACATCCAGGCTGCATGTGGAGGAGCTCAAACTGGACAGTTTGATCATTTACAGGTGCAAAGTAAGTTAGCTCAAAGAGCCTTTCTGGCTGTTGGATGGTTATCTGTGGATTGGAGACAATGGCGTTTTTGATGCCTTGAACCTTGTCATTGAAAAAATGTGCAAATTCTTTACATTTACGTTTGGAAGTTAGCTCTAATGGCATTTGAACAGGGGGGGTTGTTAATCTATTAACTGTTGAAAACAGAACACGCAGATTGTTGCTGCAGCCTTCAATCATTTCAGAAAAATACCTTTCTCTCGTACTACGTAGCACCCGGTTAAACTCGCACAACTTATCTTTGAAGATCTTGTAATCAACCTGGAGGTTGGACTTGCGCCACTTCCGCTCGGCCCTCCGGCACTCTCTCTTTTGTGACCTGACAGAGTCTGCTTTAGCCCACGGCGCCTTCTACTTATTTTTCACTATTTTAACCTTCACAGGAGCGATGGTGTCCAGAACTTTCAAAACACCAGAGGTGACAGAGTTAAACAGTTCATCTACAGTAGAATACGATGCATTCTCAAAGTTTATCATTCCCATAAATAGTTCACCCGTATTTTCATTTATGTGTCTTCTTCGTACAGTTGCAGAGTCCACTGGTGGTTTGTTAGTGAAAAACATGTCAAAAAATATACAAAAATGATCCGAAAGCGCAACATCGACCACGTTTACATTAGAAATGTTCACCCCCTTTGTAACTAACAGGTCTAGAGTGTGCCCTCTGCTGTGGGTGGGGCCACTCACATGGTGAGTGAGACCAAAAGATTCAAGAACAGAACTCAGCTCTTTAGCATTTCTGTCATCAACATTATCCACATGAATATTAAAATCACCTGTAATAACTAAACTATCAAAATCTGTGCATACAACTGAAAGCAACTCTGTAAAATTATCAATAAAACTGTGACATGACTACGGTGGCTTGTATAGGACAACGAAAAGTATTGGAGGAGATTGTTTTTGTTGTATTTTAAAAGACACATATTCAAAAGACGGAAACTTCCCAAGAGACATTCTATGGGAGACAAAGTGGTCTCTGAAAATGGCAGCTAAGCCTCCTCCTTTTTTGTTTTCCCGTATTTCAGATTCAAATTTTAAATTTGGTGGTGATGCTTCTATTAAAACTGCATTTTCTGTATTTTGGTCAAGCCATGTTTCAGCCATGAACATAAGATCTAGATTATAAGAACAAATAAAATTATTGATTAAAAAAGACTTGTTACAAAGAGATCTGACATTTAGCATAGCAAGTTTCAAAGTTTCAGGATCAGCGGTTGTGGTCGGCTGATTCTTACACGAAACAAGAATTAGATTTTCCTGATTAGATTAGACTGATTAACTTCAGATGTTTTTCTGTTATGGGGGGGGGGGGGGGTCTTGGTGCTGAGTTAGGGGGGAGGTGGGCTAAATGAGCAGGAGGGGGGGGGTGGAATACTTATGGGGTTAGAGGAGGGACGGGTGGATTTTGTGGGAGAATTTGAGTTGGACGCCCTAGGTAACAGGCCTATTAAAGAATGTGCACCACCTGAGGTATTTCAGGCCTTTGAGACTTTGATGCACTAAGCTTTTATTAGCCAAGAGATCATTGACACAAACTACAGTGGAGAACTTTTGGTCCCATATTTTACAAAGAATAATCTATGAAAAAAATAAAATATTGATAAAAAAGAATGTAATTGGTCGTAGTTTAATCTTTGGCCTTATCTCAGGTTGTGCCACGTAGGGGTTGGCAATAATTATTGTAGGCGATAATATCTCTAAAGTACCAGTAACTTTGACAATAAGTTTTTTCACATTATCGAGATACTGGCTCTATTTCACTTTTGCCGCTTTGCTTGTTTGCCTTCTTTGTGCTGCGCTCGCCTCACTCCTCCTTTTGCTCCCACTTGGCCCCTCCCCTTGCATGTGTCTCATTCAACACAGCAGAAGAGTCGCTTAGCTAGCAGTGACACTTAGCTAGCAGCATAGAATGTAAACCTGCTCTGATGAAACAAACTTGTCTAAAAAAAACCAGAGTGTAGAATATGACAGAAGGTGGTGTAGCGGCATTTCATACAGCAGTGGACACGGCACGTTTGTCGCCATTGAACAACGTGGCTTTATAGCAGAACTGTAAACTTTTTACGCAGCTAAAAACAAATCTTAAGGTTACTTTCAACCCCGGCTCTTTGATAACAGTGTGGTGTTTCGTCACAGACTACAGAGTCATGGCATTACTTTGCATTACAAGAACTCCTGCGACTGTACACTGCGAAGAGAGTGGCTGAATTGGAAGTTACTTACTATTAACGTAATCAGGGGTTTCTTTTATCATGAATGTTGCTGAAGCACTTTGTTCCTGTATGCACTTTGAGTTGAGTCATTATTTTTTAATGAAGAAAAGGCTCATATTTTTTTAAAAACAGGAGATTAAAACAAATGTGACAGAAGCCCTTTGTTGTAAAAATTGGCATGTTTGTTAACAGTAGTCTTTGAGGGGTTATTTATCCTGTATAAATATTGTTATATATATCCATCCATCCATCCATTTTCTACCCTTTAATCCATTTCTGGGTCAGGGGGGTGGCAGTCAGAGATGCCACCCAAGTCTCATAGCACCAGCCCCTCACTGACCCTCTGCAGGTGGTGAGTCCACAGGAGGACGGCTGCTCTCTGAGTGTGAGCATAGCCTTGATCTTTCAGTGGGGGCTTTGGGCAAAGTGGGGTTAAGTGTCTTGCCCAAGGACACAACGACAGCAGTCATCAGTGGGAGTCACAGTTATATATATCAAGATATAAAAATATATATATCGAAGTTTTTTTTTTTGCCCTAGTGCCACGGCTAAGGATTTTCATTTCAAACTTCACTGACAGTTTGGAATGGACATCAAGGAAACTCTTCTGGGGTGTGTGCGTTTACCATATGCTTGAGGCCCAAAAGACATGTCTTCCCAATTACGGATTTTGACATGTCGGATTTCGTCATCCCAGTCTTCAGTGGATTGAGGTACAACATTTCCAAGAGGAACAACAGGATCATTTCTGTGAATTAAATATAGTTAAGAAATAATTCCAATCTATAACATCAAGTACAATACCTCTTCTTAGGTTTCCTCTTTTTTCTTTTAACCTTTGTTTCTTTTACATGTTCCAGCTTAGTTGAATCTGGGCCACAAATATTGATAGAAAGTGGCTTGGTTCCTTGACTTGGGCGCTCATTAAATGCAGGTGATTCTTTCAGAGCAATGCAACAATCAGTGGTCTTCTGGCTTTCTTTTCTGGGGGGCGTTTCATGACTCTTGTGCCTGGAGCCATAAATGCCTTTTCCATTCACTGTGGATGTTGGCTTTATTCCATTGTGTTTAGCAGCTTGCGTAGGATCAACTGTTCTGGAGCCATACACATCAGTCATTTTGTCACAGTACAAGGTGCCATTGACCAAGCCTGTGTCCTGGACACGATCATGGCGCACACCATTGGATTTTTTGTCATGCTGGCGGGGTGGTCTTCTTCCAGAGCTTACGGATACAGGCATCTTTATCCTATGAAGAAATCCGTGAGTTTAAGAGGGATTAGTTGGTGTTATGAAAAAATACTGTTTTGAAGGAAAATATACATTTGTAAATGGCAATCTTTTAACTAAGTCTAAAACAGAAATTTATGAATGGTAATTTGATTACATGATTAAAATAGAGTCACAAGCTAGTATAATGTGGATGGATGACAGCAATAGAATCATTTGGCCCCTAAAGGCAGAGTGAGCGCAAACTCAGCAAATAGTCAACAACAAGTCTTGTTGTTGACTAACATGGCCAAATGGATTTGATCCACTTTTAGCCCTCCAGTTTAATAATATCTTAATTGTAATGCTTCATAACATAAACACAACTCTTCTTAACGCATTCATATAAAAGGGTAAATGTATCTATTGGCCACGGTTTCTCTGTAGTTTGTGTTTGAGGAGGAGAGCAATGCATATGCGAGAAGTGTGTATGTGTCAGTCTAGCTGGGCGCTGGGCAATTAAGTCATGGTTTACTTTTGAAATATAACCTTGATGTAAAATATATGTACGTTATAACCATAGACTGTAAAAGTTACAAATTGGGATGCATAATAATATACATCACCAATAATTATCCACCAAAAATTAGGTTATGATAATAACATTGATTTATCTTCTTTTTCTGCCTCAATAGCGCTTATAAACACACTTCACATACTGCAGGATGATGTTAAAAAAGTATTCATTATTTTATGTGCATTGATTAGTGGGATTTATTATTTTCTTTGTGGTATTGTCCTGGATCTATGCTTCTAACCCATGTAGTTTTTTTTTTTTTTTATCTTGCAAGACCTTTCTCTCAAGATACATTCTGTATCTCAGAGAACTGTACTTAAACACATTGGTTAAATAGTCAATACTACGATTGTGTGATCACGTTTTCAATGCCTTAATAAAAATAAACTTGGTTATGAATGAAAATTCCATTATTGTAACATAAAAACAAATCAGTTTTACAAAAATAATATATATTTAGGATCTGTACTTTACGCTTTGAAAGTAAAAAAACACGTTTAATTGTTTGTCTGAAACCAAAACATTAAAGAGCCTGGGTATATACAGCTATCTAACCATTTAACAGCATGAAAACGAGTTTAGGACGGTAAAATCGCAGAACAGGAGACAAATGTCAAAATTATCTGAACTTATTTCATTGAATGCTTTTAAATCCAGATTGAGAGCACTTGAGACATCCTCATTGGAATGTAATTGTTTTTTATAATCTGTAATTTTATGAAATTGTATGTGACTGTTTTTATTATATGTATGTTACTATTTTTATAATATGTATGTAACTGTTTTATAATCTGTAATGTATGTAACTGTATGTAACTTTTGTCCAGGACTCCCTTGAAAAAGAGGTTCTTAATGGGATCTCAATGGGACTTTCCTGGTTAAATAAAGGTGAAAAAAAAAAAACATTAACAGTCTTGTCACATTTGCCCATTGTGTTACATTTTCAATTGGGGCAGGTTGAGCTAGACATTTCCAATCAACTGCAAAGTATGGAAAAAAAAGATGAGCCCGAAAAATAACCAAATGGGCAACATGTTTATGAGGTTGATCAACAACGGTGGAGTTAGCAGACGTGCTAAAACCCATAAGCTAGTTCAAAGTCAATGGCCGCTGTTAGCATACCAAGCTAACAACACGCAGCTGTGATCCGCAGCTCTACATTTGATAAAATAAAAGATCCAAGATATTCCTTTTATTTTAGGGAATCAGATGTTGTATTTTCTTACCGTGCGGTCTGCGCTGCGGTGTGGCCCGAGTGGGAGGACCACAGGTGGCACTGAGTTGCCCGGTCTTTTTTTTTTTTTTTTTTTTTTTTTACCAAATTCAGTTAAAGAAATGTAACAGTGTAAATCCAGTTATTATTTTTTTATACATTGAAGAATCACATCAAAGTGAAAAAGATAAATAAAATGTTAATTGTTGCATTGTTTTTTTATTTTTTATTTATGGGGAGGCAGCTTTTCAGATTCATGCTGCTAAAATATGGAACAATCTTCCTGAAGATGTGAGACAGGCCTCCTCTCTGACATTGTTTAAAACCAGGTTAAAAACAGTGCTGTTTAGCTGTGCATACAACTGAGGGATTTTATATTTTTATCTTTTTTTTAATGTTCTGTGATTATTTATGATTTTAATGCTATCTTGTTCAGCACTTTGAGTTGCCTTGTGTATGAATTGTGCTATACAAATAAACTTGCCTTGCCTTACTGATCAGCTATTAATTGGAAATATAAAGTTGGATGTCCAAAAGGTGTTATTGCTAATCCATTCCTTACATTCAGACAGTGTATGAGACAACACTATTCCATTGGATGTATATAAACGCATAAGGAAACTTCACTTTTCATGGCTTTTCTGCAGTGAAAGCTACTGATTCAGACTGGCTATCCAGTTAAAATGGGTTACCAAGATCAACACCCTCTTCATATTTATATTAATTGGCCACTCAAAAGTCCTGGCCCTGTCAGACAAATTTGCCCACCTAGCTACAACTACTGCAAATGAAAGAGAAGGACACACTTTTTACATACTTACCATCAGTGAGCAAAAATAGTATTCAAAAACAAAACAAAAAGGAAACCAAAAATTAAAGCAACTGGACAGGTTTTATAATGTGGACTGACATTTTTATTAGATTTAGTAACATACAAGTTTTGTTTTATAATAAACCATATAAAAAGGTCATACAAATGAATAGAGTGGCACATTTACAAACAATATGGATAATTACAACATAAAATCAAGTCAATATGACAAGATTTAAATGTATCTTTAAAATGTAAACAGTGGTCCAGTTTTTGTGAATGACATCCTAAGGCACAGACAAACAGGCGACACATGCAAATTCGGGTTTGTGGAAGTAAAAGTCATGTTCAGCGCTTTACAATACAGTAGATTTACATTATATTTATTGTACATTGTAACCCACAAGTCATTTTTGGCACACTACCTATGCCGGTTAAATGTATAGTCCGTTTGCAAGGAATCGCAGTGTTCTAAACCCTGCAGCTGTGTTAAAACTATTTAAACATGGCCAGTAGCTAAGTCCATACAGTATGTAGCAAAAGTTATGAAGATGAGTCAATGAGTGAATAAACCATGTAAGTGTCGTTGTACACGATTCTATTTCTATATACCATGTACTTGTTGTACTGAACAGTGAACAATAGTGCATCAAATGTACATAAGGGCTGTTGGCTGCACAAATGAGTTTCCAAAATTATCAAAAGGATGCCATTATTTAGGCAATAGAATGTTCTTCACTTTGTAAGAAAGAGTTGCGCAGTCTCACTCTTTAAGACAATCTTAATGCATGATGCGGTTGACTGACCTTCATCAGGTACAAACGTGTATAAATGCATTAAAAGAGCGAGAGTCTTTTCCACAAAGTTAAGCACCTACTGCTCTCCTAGACGTCTTTTGCCTTCTCTGGTATGCAGAGTCCTCTTCCTCACTCGGTAATAGAATGTCATAATCCTATTTTCCCCAAAATAATGCCTGTCATACAAATGTGGCATTCACATGATTTTGCAACACTATACATACATTCCTTATTGCAGACTGATCCCATGACACATCCTTCTATATCACCAAGACCACTTACAACGTCTTTATTGAATTAAACTCACTTTCTGGAAGACATATTTCTCTCAATTTGCAAAAAACCTTGATGTTCATTTCAGTCACCCTTTTGTTAGGTCTGTTGGTCAGTTCTTTGTTCTGACATTGCAAAAAAGCAAACTTTACAAAACTGGAACCGTAGATCTGCCATCCTGGAAATAGACATTTTCTGGTTCCAGTTGATTGGAAGAAAAAGTGCAGTGTTATGACTCCAGTGAATTCATCGACCAATCAGCCTCCCTTTCTTGATAATATCAGTAGTATGTTTTTCACAAATTAAAATAGGAGTTGGCAGCAGCAGCCTGTAATTCATTGCTGATGAATTCTTTCTTTCTTTAGAAAATATATTCAACCAATAATAGTCGGTGTTCCAGCAAGAGTCTCAATCATCTTCAAATCGTCTGAAACAGGTAAGGGTTTTGGGGAAGGGCTTTCATTGCTTTATCTCCAATATGGAAGGATTGTGGTCCAAAATAGACAGAATGATTTTGTCCATGTATTGTCGCAGTCGCAGGTTGATTTCCTCCTGCTCTTTCAGAGCTTCCATAAGCTGTAAAACAGAGTCATGATTTACAATTTGTCTTTTTGTCTTATACTTGTTAATACAAACATTGTGGAGTAAATTTACTGAGCTGGATCAAAACTATTGGATATTGGGATTGAACGCTTACCTGGTCTCTTGAGGCATTTTCTATCTCAGCAGCGAGGGACTGCGCCTTCGTCTGTGTTGCAAACAAGTTCTTGGCTTCATGAAGGCTGAGACTGAGGATCTGACCATTTAAGTCCTCATTCTGTTCTTTTAACTTCTGGTTTTCCTAAAATAGGAATACATATTATATACTCTGTTTACAAGAAAACACCTTTTAAAAAGTAAATTGTAAAACTATTGAAGCTCTAGACATTCAGTTCACACAGGATTAGCCACAGCAGCACGCTCTATGTGGGCAGGAGCTACGGGACACAGGTTATGTGTGTTACTAATACAAGCTGGTGTCTTTTTATACCTTATGTTTAGGGCCGGGACATTACGCGCTAATTTTTGTGTAATTAATGAATCTTCATTAACGCGTAAAAAAAATTGATTGTTTCAATTTGTATTTATTTTTGCACCGCGGAACGTATCTCACTGAATGAGTTTTAGGCCATGTCCACACGTAGCCGGGTATTTTTAAAACCAAATATTTCCCCCCTCCGTTCAAAAAATAGTTTGCATCCACACATAATCGAACATCTGCGTTTTCAATCACATTCATAACATTCCAAACATGTGCGTCCTCACAGAACACAGAAGTGGGCGGAGCTTTGATGCTGACGCCGGTACTTCTGTAGCGGCACTTTTACAGTCATAGTAGAAACTCAGAGTGACGATTACAGTTTATGATGAAGACATATGTTCACAAGCACTGTCCCCCTTCCTCAGCCCTGGTTTATCTCCTGTTTTGGTGCTTTTCGAGCGTGAGTCCCCGTGATCACTTTGCTGCTCTCTGATGTGGAGCGAGGATGTTCGCTGCTGCGAGCGAACAGTTTTTATGCAGTAAGATCCTTCTTCAGTGATCAGAGGTCGCACGTTTTGTCTATTGTTGTTTTGGCACATATTGTGACGTGCGAAAACGCAAAACTCCGGTTATCTCTATCTACATGCAAATGCATAAACAGAGTTTAAAAAAAATCTTCACTTTGCCCGAAGTTTTTTTAATATATTCGTTTATGATACGTTGTCATGTGGATGACAGGTGCAAACGAAGAAAAATATCTGCGGTGAAGCAGATACCCGGCTACGTGTGGACGGGGCCTTACTGTAGCACTAACTAACGCACATGAATTGGGTTCAGACAACAACAAACCACAGTGGCACAGTGAACATGAACAAAGAAGCTGATGTGACTGGGTTGGTTGGCCCCGTGGATGGGGAAAAAATTACTTACTCACTGTTCTCAGGTCAAATATTTAAGCGGTTAAAATGCAATTAATTAGATTTTTTTTTAAATATCGAGTCCCAGCCCCATCCCTAAACCATATGTTATAATATAATTACATATCTTAATTCATTAATTTCATTTGACATTGAACACAGGGAGCATACATCTGCTTCACACGGCAAATTAATTCTATGCTATGAAGATTAGTAGTTATTTGGGATGTTAAAATGATCATTTTACCATTCTACTGGTAAGGAGCCAAGCTCCAGAAAGCACCAGATGTTGGGATTCAGGGGTAACAAGATCCTGGGACACAAATGGCTAAACATAATAGACATTTATTAATATATTATATAGTGTCATTGTGTTTAATACATTGATTGAATGTAATAAACACAGAGATGACTGAATAAGCAAATAAACCCATATCAAACATAGAAGGTAAGATTTGAAAAGGATTTGGGTTGTGAAGTAATGCGGCAGTACCTGCTTAAGCCTCTTGGCCTCATGCTCCAGCTCCACATCTCTGGTTCTGCAGCTGAACTCCGACAGCGTAGAAGAGCTGCGCCCACGACCTGGTCGCTCTGTCTCCATTTTAAAGAGCTGCAGATGCTCGAGCTCTCGCCGAAGATCTTCTATTAGCTTTATATGCAAAGGAACAAAACATGAAATGTTATTTAATATATTGAGAACAAGGATACTACTTGAAGATATTTGGAATCTCTCACATCCTGCATGGAATCCTTTTCCTTCTGAAACTGCTGTCTATTCTGTCGTAGTTTGTCCATCATTTTCTTATAGAGATCCATTTCATCCTTGAGCCGCAGACTGGTGTCCTCCAGCTTGTCTGTCATCCTTTGTTTCTCCTGTAAATACATGTTTGACATTATGCAAAACGTAAAGTCATATGTATGTGCTATTCATATAATGATATTTGTATGATCGGTTGTGTTCATAAATGTACCTCATCCAGTTTTTCAGTCTGCGATTTCAGACGACACATATTTAGATCCATTTCACTGTTCTCTTCCTCTAGCTGCCTCACCCTGAAAACATATTTTATATATTAGTACATTCTTATTATTCCAATTAAGACCGGCAAAACAGAAGTCAGAATAATGATATTTGATTTGTCGATTAACCATGAAAACCAACAATATTACATCTTTAGGGTGTTAAAGGGAAAAGTCCTCAAATGCAGCTTGTATTATAAAATCCTCACCTGTTACTTTGTAGCTCTATCTGTGTGTTCTTATCCTTTTCCATTTTGGTGTAGGCCTCTCGGTGTCGCCTCAGCTGCTGCTGCAGATTCTGTTCTGCCTTAGTTTCCTGGTCCTTCAGCTGCTCCTCCAACTCATTTACTCTGATGACATTGAACATTTCCTTTAAACTAATTAATTTATTGTAATAGTAAATGTTATACCTCGAATTATCATTACCTGTGCACTAACTGAGTGTTCTCATGTTTTAACCTTGACTTGAGATCGCCGTTAATAAGTATCTCATTCTCCAACTCTGCCACTTTCTTTTCAAGGAAGCCGACCTGAACAAAGTGAAAAAGTGAAGTGAAGCCATCCACGTGTAGAATAATAAATCATGAATGCGTACCTTTTCAATAATGTCAATGTCGCATGAGTCAATGCTGTCTCTGAAAAGATCTTCTGTGCTGCCATTGCTGCTGCTCAAGTTGCTGTTGTGAAGCAGTTGTCTGTTGAGTAGAAAGGAGTTATATTCACAGCTTTTATATACAGCAGTTTAAGTACTTTCTTCAACTGTCCTGGTGGATAAGAAAAACTTTATTGACAATGGAGAAAGTATGTACATTTCACATTTGGCATAAATAAATAAAAGTAAAAAAATTAAAAGATAGTCTCTTTTGTGCAAGATAAATTATGGACAATTAAATTAAAAGTGACTATAGCAGTGCAAGTTTAGAGTCCTAGTGCAGGTCATTAAGTGACTTATTGTACAGTGCGACAGCGGTGTGGATGAAGACCCTGCAGTAGTGCTCCTTCTTGCACTGAGGGTGCCTCGGTCTTCCTCTGAAGGAGCTCCTCAGCTCCTCTACAGTCCTGTGCAGCATTTACCTAAACCCATAGCACCACTCTGCAGATCAGAGTGGTGCTATGGAGGGACGAGCTGAGTTTGTTGCACTAAAATGTGGATTTATAGAAAAATTGAGATTTTAAAATAAGTAAAACAGTTCAGGATGACAAAGGACACTAAAATCCCCACAAGATAAGACATTTGTGAAAAGTGTAGATTCCCCGTCAGCTGAGAACAAGCGATATTAGTTCAAATTGATGTCTATGGAGAAAATCTCCTTCAAGCCCAGATGAATTTAAAGCTGCACTAACTGACTTTATTTTTGTATTCATTACGAAAATGCTATCCATGTCCGTGTAGGGCATTGGGATATACGTCCTTTTGACGAAAAAGTAGCGCAGATTTGTGCTGGCGTGACATTATATTTTAGATCGAGTTTTGATAAAACAAGGAAGAGAATGTGTTTCGGGTCGCAGATTGTGACCAATCACCGCGGACCACTGGCCCCCACTTTTGTGAGAAATCTACAGGTCTCCGTTAGCATAGAGGGCTAAGTTAGCACAACAAGACGAGGAGCTAACCTGAAGCTTCGTCTCTTCATCACCGGTTACTGCTTACACAGCAAGACAGCCATCCAAAAGAAAGTCTCGTTCCTCCACGCTTCCCGGTTCTATCGTTCTATGGTCACGCCATCCACTTGAAAATCCATATCCATGTATTATCCATATTGGGAGAGGCTAGCTTCGTCCCAACAGTGGGTGTGTGTGGGGGGTGATAGCTTCGTGGGTGCGGGGAGGGGAGCAGAAAGAGAGAGGCCAGCGTGTCCGCGGCTTCAAAATCCCAAAGTCAGTTAGTGCAGCTTTAAGAGGTAGTGCAACAGGTGGCCACTTTCCAATGCTGTAGACAGTTTAAGATAGCAATACCCAATCCAAATAAAATAATACATCCATACATTACAAGTTATATTGGGGATGTAAGTCCTCTCACTATAAAAAGCACCTTTTAAACCAAAATGAGCGACAAATCAAGCAAAGCAATATCTAATCTATTGCAAGAAGCAGATAGACCACTTCACAAAAAGGGTGACAGTTGAGGAATGTATCATTCATTTGTTTAATTTAACTAAAACGGGCGTCACTCTCAATTAAAAATGGCTAAATACCAATGCTCATAGACATGGAATAGAAAAAAAAGAAAAGGGAAAGAACAGAGGATGAGCAATAAAAGAGATGAAGTAATGAAAGCAGACACTGAGGACACTAGAGGAGAATAGGGAGGGCTTTAGTGTCTATTGGAAACATAGATCAGGTCTGACAGGGCATTTTTACTCTGTCACCATCATTCATTTATGGGTGAACACTGGACAAGATTATACTTTCCCGTGACCATAAAATAGATAGAATTGAAAGGGTTGAGTTTTACTAACACTACTTTTATCAGCAAACTGTATGTTCTCATGCACTCCACTTGTTTATTTTTGCTGAATATCCAGTTACTGATTAACTCCATGTTGCAGAACATTATTGCAGCAGACTGATAACAGAGCTAAAGCGTGTGTGTGCATGTCAACATAAAGAGCAAATAAGGGACGCTTATAAGGACTTGCAAATTATAAAATGACCTTGTTAAATTTGACTTTGAAGATTAAATTAAATTCAGGAGGAAAGAGTAAGAAGCATGCAGCATACCTTCCAAAAGCCGTGCTGGAGATTTTCCTGCTGGGACTAGAAGAAATAAAAAATGACAGTAGTTAACTATAGAAACAAAGTGCTGAGTCTGATGATAATATTAACATTACACATTTGAAAACCCAAATTAATAATAACCACATGAATGATATTCAGTTTTCAATGCTACAACCATCAGTTCCGTCAAGAGCGCTCTCAAAGTGCAAGCTCTAATTCTCTTAGTTAAGTACTTTGTTGCATCACATCACAAAGTAATCTTTTTGAGTCAACCTCTGATGGAATATTCTTATGAGGAATTGGGTAAAACATATGCTCATGTTTGTGATTTAAACTGCACTGAGCCGATGGTTCTGAGAGGTAGAACTGTGTTTGCAGGTCGTTGACACAGAGACAGCGGATTAAGATCCTAAAAATAGGGTTCTTATAACAATAGTGATGAGGTAGGCACTGGACTGACAGCCTTATATAACACAGAATTAGTGTACACATCACACTTTGTCACATCCTGGTGTAATTGTTCTGATTATTATAATTATTGCAGTTGACTGACCGCTTTTATGGACAGCATTACAACTAGAAAAGCATTTGTAGAGTGCTGACCTTTTGTGATAATCCACCTATTCCATAAAACAAACCCTGGTGGTGAAAATAACTATTGGTGGAGGTAATAATACAATTTTTATCATTACTCAATAAAACACAGAGTACAAAGTGAATTTGGTGCACATAAATGTTGATACCTGTTTGCCTTAAGGTTTTTCAGCCGGGCCTCCAGGTCATTGAGGAGGTTAACCTTCTTGCTGCACTGGGAGCAGTAGACATCCATATGCTCACCAGTGTAATGCTGACGCACCTTACGAGGAGTTTGGCCCGCACTGCACACACACACACACACACACACACGATTCAATACCTGGCATTTTGAAGAGGACTGGATTGGATTAAAACCACATGAGAACTACTTTAGTTTTGCATTTGTCTTCAACTCTACAGAACTGCAGAACTTTACTTTAGACTAATTATTTTTTCCCAGGGCATCTTCTCTTCATGCTTGAACATTTGCGCATCATTTAGAATTTAAATCTCAGAATACTCGAGTTGTGTCTGCTTGGTATGCAAGAAGCGAACAAAGTGAGTACTGCCTGTCTATCAGCCAGGAAGCCTAATCCCATTAAACACAGACTTCTGATGAATTTTAATGTGGTCTTAAAGCCAGAAGCCACTAAGCGAGTCAGCACTCAAGGTAATATGACGCAGTAGCCCATTCTGGAAATTCAGATTCACTTGGCTGTGTCATTTCAAAGACAAACATGAAACAAGGCTCGTTTTCATTGCATCTTTTAGTTCACCTGGAGGAAACGGAAGAGCCGAGGTCAGAGTGTGCGTTGTTGCAAGTGTCGTCGTGGGGACAGGGGCTGCTGGGAATGTAGTCTGGCTCCTCCCCTTCACCGTAATCCTCAAATTGTTCTTCGTTCAGCGAAGCAGAGGAACGAGTCGAGAGGTCTGATGTCACAGAGATGCTGGTCTGACCACACCTAGGAGTAAGATATGAATGATCAATGAAACCCATTTTTACAGAGCATACTTATAAAATAAATGTATTTATTATAATATATATCTTTATATTATTAGTATTATGAATGCAATGATAACAGCAAACAGTTACAACATCAGTCTGCCTGGTTGGTCCAACGTTTCACAAATGGAAAAATGTTACTGCAGAATAATATTGTTGTAGTACAGAACCGTGAGGTGCATCTATACTGAAAAAAAAATATCACAATCTAACAGAAGTTTAAACTGTTTTAAAACATTTTGAAGTTTCAAGATTCACAAACAACGCACTGAAGGGATTTATACCAAGTGAGACTATGAAAGATCCAAATGGGAGTGGCCAAGCTGTTTTTATATGATACCAATACAAAACTCAAAGAGATTGGATTCAAAGAAGCTTCCGCTTTTCCTCTAAATACACAACTTACTTTTCTCTGTGGAAGAACAGCTCTCCCAGTTCGTCCTCTTTGTCTGCTGTTGTGGCCGATCCCTCTGAGGTGTCCGAGCCCAGGGTGCTCTCCACGGCACTGTCTCTGTCCGACTCCCTCTCCTCTGGCTCGTACTCCTCCGTGGGGAACAGCTGGCTCTCGGGGACAAGGTCAGGGTCTGTCCGTGTGCACATGATGGCCGCACACACCCACTCCTCGTCTGCACTTCCCTGAAAGAAGGACGCAAACCTTTTATATAGTGCAAGAAATATAAATGCAGTTATGAAACATACATTAGACGGGCACTACATCACAAAACACCCACGTCAATTGGCTTGTGCACAAAAGTTGGGCCTATCCCAATGTCTTTGCATATTTGAAAATACATCACATCACATGCTTGTGCAATGCATCATTTTAAAGCTAGAGCCTCCTACTTTATGCAGATATACACAAGAATAATTATTTCATTCCCATTTCATCCTCCATCCTTTGAAGTTTAGGAAAAAACTTTTTTTTAGCCTCGTCATAAAACCTTAACAAAAGGCATAATACGTTGTAAGATCACAATATTCAAACCCTAAGGTCATTTTATTGTTGACAAGTTGACAACCACTGTCTAAAGACCTCTAGGTTTTATCATTTTGATGCAGATGCCTTTTTTTCATAAACTAGTGCCATTCGGCCTTATTTGGCACACTTGGTGCCAATGTGTACCAAACATATTGGCACAAATGTTAGGTCATCCATCACCATAAAATCAAATGTTTATGTTTTGGTACTTAAAAGCTACCTTCCTGGATGATTGTTTTACAATTTTTAAAAAACATTTTTTTATCATAATGCAATTACATCATGCGGTGTGTAACAAATCCGATCACAACATTCAGTCTTCAATCAGAAAATATTTAATTTTTGCGTCAGGAGACTTGTGAGTTACTATGATTTGGGCCGAGAGCTGATCTGAGCTTAAGGATGGTCCTCTCTTTTTCACATTTCTGTCTGAAAAGCTGATGTGAAGAGCCCAAAAACACTTTCATGAAAATATTTGAGATCGAACCAAACTGTTTGAGTTAGATGGATTATACTACATACTTATATATTTTGTGGTTTGATAGTTAGGTAGACCATCATCTGAATCTTATTATTGAAATAAAAAAAACTTGCAAATACAGCCCATCCATAGAATACATGGTAAGAAATCACAGAATACCAAATGTATCCGTTTCTGTTAAACTGTTAAAAGTCAAGTCAATTAATGCTTTGTGTTTATATTGTGTTTCAGGCTTTGTACATTCCATAGGTGTGGGAACTGTCTGCGTTCACATAGCAGGAGGTCTGTGTCGGCTAAAGGGGAAAAGGTCACAGGAGTCAGCTCCATCATTCTTAGAAGGCTTAAAACTTGCTTAATGCAGCCGAGAACAAGGTTTTATTTCAGCATGAGTGAACCGCAAAGAATAAAGGCCGGGGCAGATGGACTCACAGATGAATATGTATGCATCAGGAAAAGCTAACTAAATAATTAAATGAAAATGGGTAAAAAGGAACTTAACATCAATAGTCAGGATAGACCAAAATATAAGGATAACCTTTTTTTCATCCCTCAGTGTGGAAATGTCAGTGTAATTTTGCACATACTTTTCAAAATCAAAAAGGTATATAGGAGTATTTGCTACTTCCGGGTGGATCATCAAGACTATTGGTCCTCCCAATTGTCAATTATTCTGGTGATACGTGCTCGTCAAATAAGAGCAAGAGTTTTGTTTGAAATGTGAAGAGGGCGGTACTTTCCTCAAATTTGAGTAAATCCTCCTAAATAGCTTTAATGAAACATTGTTATCCATTTGCAACAGTGCTTTTCAAACAATCCAAATAAATGCATTTTGATTGAGATTTCAATGTACTTTTCACAGCAACTGGCAAGAGGTACAATAGCAACACTTCCACTTCTTCCGAGAATAATTTGCTCTGTATTTTGATTCAGGACTTTTTTTGCCAAAGCTGCTTTTAAAACTAGGCAGAAGCTCTTTTAGGCCATACTGTGGAAAATGTACACGCAGTAGGCAGTAGACTCAACTGGAAAACATTAACCATACAATGTCAAATTATTCTGTCTGCAATAAAAATGCATAACAGTCTGTCTCGTCAGGATGGATTTCAAAAGCCTGAAAGTATTTAGTGTGTAGATGTGAGCCTCTCTGACAGCTGTTGTTTTAAAAGACAGAGATTGATGACACAGAGTGACTGGCTGTGCGTATACTGCTAAAGACTCCTCATGTCACCTTCTGATGCACAAGAACCGGCACAAGTGATCCAGAGATGATTTACAGATAACTGTTTTGTACTGCCTTGTACTTATCTTTTGTCTGCTTTTCAAAAAATCCTGGAACAGTAACTGCCAAAATTCGAGCAGCACAACTAAGCATTTGTGCAGCCGATTCGAAGCACGAGTACAGAGCAGCTGCCAGAAAACTACCGACCTGCACTTTCTTATAGATCTGCTGAGCTGTTCAGAACACAAGCACCAGGGCATTAAATATTACACTTCACACATAGGACCCACTATTAACAAATATTCAAGATCCATTTTCTTTGTTATTATTTTTCCATTCTCATTCAAATGTTTCAGACCACTTTCATTCCAAGTTTCATTTGGTAAAAACATGAACATTCACATTGAAGTTGCCAACAGAGAGCACTGCGGACAAGACAAGACGTATGCTCAAACATTCTTCAGCGAGAGTAGCTACAGCAGCCCTCAGGTAAACAATAGCAAGGCTGCCAATCTGTACCACCAGTGAAACATTCAATAATACAATACAATTTATTAATGATACAAAGTCTCTCCACTTGATTCATAGTGTTTTGCACAAGAACAGAACGTCAATTTGCACTAGAGACACACTTCCACTTGGACTGACTAATCAGGTCCCAATTTGCTGATTACCTCCAGGTATGGCCCAATAATTTAAAAAGTGAATGTTTAATAGGTCATATCATAGGTCTCCAACCTTATTTATTGTATATCATAGGTCTCCAACCTATGATATACAATAAATAAGTTGATTTGACCAACAACCAAAACATTACAAACTGCAACAATGAGCGAGCGTCTGACCTACATAAAACTCTACCCTCCATTTTTATTATACATTTTTAATGCCCCTCTGGTCAGATAAATAAACAATGACTTTTTTTTCTTATACTAACTATTATTTTTACAGACCAAACATGTAATTATTGTATGAGGAAAAGTTGTATGAAACAAGCTGAAACATTTCCACTAAACAAAATAATCCTCTGACCACAGGACACGTCTTCTCTTATAAGTGAAGACATCATCTTTCCATCAATGTTGTAACCTACGATGCTGACATCACACTGAAACTTGCATGAAGTAATTCAGTTTTATGTTGTATGGTAACCAACATAAAACTAACCAACAAACACTACATGAGTGACGGGTAGAGTGACTGCCCTTAATTACAGCGGGTCAATTACTTTGACGTTAGTGCTCAGTCCCAGAGGCATGGAGGGCGGGAGGTCTTCAGTTTGCACAAAAACCACGCACAGGCTGGCAGCTGTCAGTAATGTCGCCTTAGCCCGCTCAACTGCCTTCCACTCATGTACAGCAGGTCAATAGCATTTAGTGCAAAACATTACTCAGCTGTACAAAAGGAACAATGCATTTAAGGTCTAGTGCCATCTGAAAACATCCTGAACACTTTTGAAAGCATTTGATTGTTGATTTGAAATGTAGAGTTATAAAAAGGTTTGTTTCAGGGAGTGGCATTTTGAGGTGCACCTTCAAACCAAAAGTGGATTAAACATAGATCATGGTTAAGAGTTGTCCTAAGAAACAAGTTGGACAGCAACTCAGGAAAACAGTGTTGTGAAACAAATGCAAAAACATTGTAAGACATGCCCTTATCATTACATTCAAAGGAACCTTAAATTTGTAGTAACTCTGATTCAAAGGGAATATGAATGAGGGATTAGAAAGACAGGACTCATTCAAAATAGATGTTTTGAGAGGAAGAGAACAGTAAAAGGGACTGCCGTTTTTTCCCCCATTCTATCTTATAGCACCTCTGCTGCTCCAAAGCCATCAAAGAGAAACATACCCAAAGCTTTTAATGCTTTTGGTAGACAGTCTTTCCTCTGTCGCAAGGTGAAATAAGGTTGAAGAGGATGTTGTTGTTATGTTAGATCTTGTCTGAGACCATAATTCTCAAGAAATATGAGAAACTTAAGGGACAGAAAAGGTAAGCAGAGAGTTAGCATTTAGCTAAGATACACCTTAGGGATAAAGTGGATAAAGAGTATCAAAACATATTTTTTATACGTTTATACAAGAATACATTGAAAATAAATGAGATTAGCGCCTGAATCCAATGATACAATTTAACTACAGCAACCTGGCTTTACAAAAATATTTACGTAAATTTTTCCCGTATATTTGGCCTTATCAAGACATTTTGATTCACATTAGATTTCTGGAAGAACTGACAAAATAAAAAGTGATTTAATATTTTTTGAATCAAAGTCAAGAACATTTCTGTCACAAACATTCAAAAGAGCAACTTTGTCACTGGAGAGCAAACATTAAAACGCTATGTGGCTATATGGCATTATGAGCTCATGTTACTCAGACCCCTGCATTAGAAGCAATGGTCTTATTTAAAGTTGGAACACAAACAAATATTGCAAAGAAAAACAAGAGAGAAAGTTATTATTTCGTTTGTACGTACACTAGACATGTTTAAAACAAGGTCCCTGCATTATTATTTACAACAAAATTACAAAGACAAGATGAGTCTCCACTTCACCAAGCGTGGTCTGCCAGAAACAACTAAACCCTCACAGTAAACTCACTCTGGTCCATCAAAGAAACCTCTCATAGAGCTGTACACATGGCTCCACACAGCTCCTCCAGTCAGCAGCTTACTCTACATCACAGCCATTTGTTTCCACCTGAGAGCTCTGAACAGGTAGCTGCTTGGATTACCCGGAATGCTGCGCTGGACAAAGGACAATGTTGGGAGGGACCGCACAAGTGTATTGAGGCTATACCGAGGAGGTTTCAATGAGACCAAGCAATGCCACAGATACAACTTTGTTAAGTTTGTAAGTTAGAATGTAGTTCCATTATTTAATCCTCAAACCATTTCCAATGCAATTTGTATGACAAGAATATTCACATTTTTATAACTACACCTAATAATTCAGA